GTTTTATATCATTAAAGTGGAACAAAGAAGGAGACTAATAGATTAATAGATTAATGAAAAATAAAATGAAGGCTGGAATATCTTCGCTTCATCATGCACATTTCAATTTATAAACATGATTGGAGATAAAATACATGATTTTTTAATTGAACTATTGCATTGTTTTATTAAAACTGAAATAAATCTCTTTTTCAAACTTTCAAAGCAACATTATGTGCATGTTTGCACATCTTTGTGTGTATTTAAAGGTTCTCTATCCAATACTCATTAATAATAGCATTAATATAGCAGCAAACAACTATTTGCTCTATAAAGGTATAGTGGAGAATTGTCTACCTGAGAAGAGAATGAATTCTCCCTGTGTGTGTTATCTTCTGAGCTTCTCTGTGCTGTTTTGAGATAGCTGGGCCGGCCGCACACGCCTTTTAGTTCATGTTGGTGCACGTGAATGTGCCCCACTGACTCATGGCCGCCACTTGGCACTGTGCTCATATACCGGCTGTTGCAGATGATAACGACGCCTTGACTGACAGCATCATTGTGCGAGCGTAGAACCCCCCCCCCCCCCTCTGGTTCCCCCTCAGGTTAACACTGTTAGCTCTTTCAGTTGTTTGCACTGTTAGCATCAGCATGATAATAGCAGTGCGGAGGCAATACAAACACAATGTTTCAGTATTAAGTCAGAGTGTTGACTCTACAGAATAAACCCTAAACCAAGGATCACTTTTCAGGGTGAAATGTATTCATTTCCTGGACATAAAATAATCTATAACCCTTGTTATATGCTTATGCTGCAGTATATTGATGCCTGTATGTACCTGAATGAGAACAAGTCTAATGTACTTTGATTGTTCCTTCAGGCCGCAGCTGAGAAACAAGTCGGACAGGTCAAAAGAAACGAAGCAAGAGTGAAGTTACAGCAAGAGAAGGAGAGAAAAGAGTCCCAGGCGAGACGCCTCGCGGATCTGAGTCCTTTTTTTCACAGATTTCTACGTTTTCACAGCATGGACAGTAAGTTGGGCTTATTTTTTCAAATGTTGAGCGCCATATACTTATATTCAAATTAACATTGTTCACAATTCTGTGTGTATTTGGGTCTCAAACCTCACACCTAATGCTACAAGGTTAAAATATATTTCAGTTAGTTCTATTATACTTTAGCTGGAAAGGATATCATTTTCACTTTGATGAAATAAGCTCTGATGCTACTTTAAACCTTATTAATCAAGATTCCTCCAAACAGGATTTGTGGATTATAATGTCATGTAAAATGATTTCTTAGTCTTGCGTCATTAAAAAAAGGTATGACAGTATCCATGAGTTCATTCTCAGAACAATGAAGTTAAAATGTTTAAAATGTGCACCTGTCAGCTTTATCTCTCACAGTCCCTAATAATGAATTCATTTTGAAACCTGATTTTTTTTTTTTGACATGTGATTTTTAAAAGGAGCTGTATTTAACGTTCTGAATATCAATACAGCAGCAAACAAATATTTGCTTTGTAAAGACACAGTAGAGTAATGTCTACATGAGCAGAGAATGAAGTTGCTCTCACTGTGAGCCGCCTGCCATGTTAAGAGCCGTTGAGAGGCAATCGAAATACTTCCTATATCGGGAATTGCATATTTAACTAGTGTTTTCTATTCTCTACCAACAACTAGGTGCTTTCACACCTAAATCTTTGCACTAGTGTTTAGTAAGTTAATTACAATTTTAATATTATTATATTTTATTGTATATATTGTGCATTTTTAATATTTAGTATTTTTTACTCTGTTATTTTTATTGTTTTACCTGTACCATAAATGCTGCTGTAGCCAAAAAAAATTCCCTTGTGGGATTAATAGAGTAACTATCTATTATCTATCTATTATCTAACCAGTTTGGTTCGGTTATAACAAATTCAGGTGCGGGTGTCTTCCCTAATTACCAGGTCAAAAACTGTTTGTCAATTAAAAAGAAACCGGACCAGAACTAAAATACTACATTCTTCCATTGATCCGGACCAAATGATCCAAACTACAGGTCTGTAGTTTGTCTCTTCAAAGCAAGAGACAAATGTACCGATTTATTAATACTAAGTTACTTTTCTCTTCTAGTGTCGAACACATTGAGGATTGTCCTACTGGGGAAAACAGGAGTTGGAAAGAGCAGCCTTGCCAACAACATATTTGGAGAGGCCAAATTCAAAATAAACAATTTGAATGACTTGAAATCACATTGTACTACAGCCGAAACCAAATCTGTCAATGGAAGAAGCATCACTCTGATCGACACTCCTGGCTTCTTTGACCCAGGCAGGTCTGAGGAGAAGATGAACCCTGAGCTAGTGAGGTGCATCACAGAGTGCGCTCCTGGGCCTCACGCTCTCCTCATCGTGCTTAAAGTGGAGAAGTTCACAGAGCAGGAGAAGGCTGTCGTCACACAAATCTGTGAAGACTTCTCTGAAAACGCTCTAAAATATGCTGTGATCGTCTTCACTCATGGTGACCAGCTCCCAGAGGGAATGAAAATGGAGAAGTACGTCAAGCAGAGTACTTCTCCAGAAGTGCGGGGGCCGATGCCACGTCGTTGACAATAAATACTGGAAGAACAACAACGAGGACTACAGAAGTAACCAGTTCCAGGTGGCAGAGCTGCTCGACACCATAGACGAGATAGTGACAGAAAACAATGGAGGATTCTACACCGATGAAAAGCTCCAAGAAGTGGAGGAAGACATTCAGAAAGAGGAAGAGCTCATGAGACGATCCTCAGGAAACAAGTCACAGGAAGAGATCAGGAAGCAGGCTAGGAGCAACGTCTTTAAGAAGCAGGCGGACGATGCAGCTCCAACATGGATTAGAGTTTTGTTGAGGGTCGCAGTCACAGCTGGATTAGTTGCAATTGTCGCTGTGTTGATCAATTTAACATCTGCGAAGGTGTCAAAGGAAGCACCACCATTTAATTATCAGCACCAGAACTGGCAGAAGTGGTGGTAGAACAAGCTGGGACAGCTTTAGGCGTGTCTCCACCAGAGACCCCTCCAACTACAGTAGGAGGGGTAGGTAGTAATACAAAATATTGAAGTTATCATGGAAAAATGGTCTGCTTTGTGTGAAAGAGTGTACAATCCTTGGAATCAATTTGAATGAACACTGAAGCAGAATCAAATCAAAAGCAGCAGGGGTCTTCAGTTGACGTTGACATAAATTGTTGCAATCCTACAACGCGTATATCAAATTATTGTTATCATTCTGCTTCCATTTGTCCATTCAGACCTCTTACCTTATAGAGGTCCTTGTGTCTGTGATTTAAACTTTGTGCTGGTTCCCGTCAACTGAAAAGAGAACCCCTTTGGTTAATTTTCTTAAAATACAATGTAAAGAAAAGAGGAGCAAACAATATTTAGAAAATGTATCCATTTAACTAATGATGTTGAATATAAATGTGGTTGTTGGGTCATGAATCCAGACTTTGTGGTGTTTTAAAGGAGCGAGTCACCTTATTTAGAGAAGCAGTTCAGCTCACTCTTCTTCTGAAGTAACACGCAAACTGTACAAACTGTTGTAAAATGTATTCTGTAGCTCTGGAGGAGCTTTTCAAAATAACATTGATTACGTCAGAACACTGTTTATTTGAATCTGTCTCTTGTGAGTCCACCAACTTAATGGAAGTGAAATATTAAATCACAGGTGTACCTTTAATGGTGATTATTTTCTATTTACTATTCTAATTGCCATTTGTGTTACTTTGTTTCAATTTGTCATAAATCTACTACATAACATTAAAACAGCTGATTGATCACATGTCTTATCGGCTTCTTTTTTTCATATAACCATTCATGCTGTTAAAGTCTAAGGCTGACTATACTTGTACTTTCTTACTGTCAATAAATTATATTACAAGACTAAAACAAACAATGAATCGATATTAGTATTATCTATATTGATCTTGGTATTATCTGTATTTGTAAGTACTGTTTGTGTAGCCACAGCTAGCCTATATTCCTCTTTTCCTCTGTGCCATAGATCTCCAAATAGCTTTTTGTCAGACCAAGGAGACACGTGCAATGTTAATGTTTATTCTGAAGCAGTTTTGAATCTGTATTTGATTCCCAAAAACAGAAAACAACCGTCATTTTTTTACATTTACAAGAAATAAGAACTCTGGCCTCAGGCCACAGGTTGAACACAAAGGCCTTTTTGTTTTCAGTCTGTTTACTGGTAGTTGAGTACGGATGCTGCCAATAAAAACAGATTAAATTCCTTCCAACTTATTTTGTCTCCCTCAGAGACAAAACACTCCACCCTAAAAAGGTATGAAAAGGTGCAGCTGCCATCCTCCCTCTTTGACACGAAATGTTTAAAGATGAGTATTCCTTCTATCATGTATGATATTCTTGATGCCTTTAACAAAACACCTAATGCTGCAGGATAGTATTGTTTTCACTATACAGTATAAATGTAACATGCACTCATGCATCACTGAGTTTTTAATCATATTTATGGAGCTTTGATGGCAGTGAATGTAGCCGTGTTTGTGAGTGACACACATCACGTAGCTGCATTTATCTGTTAACAATCATTGTGATTGTTTCTTGTACACGTGGCATTATTAATGTGAGTCTGGTTATACAGCCTATACGATACTCTCCAGCTGAATATGCCAGTAATAAACCAACTAAAATAACATTCTTTTCAAGCTGTATACCTTCCAAACCACAGTCACCACCCTGAACAGCTGACCTGCCAAGCATCACATGAAGTTCCTCTTCAACCTGCTCATCTGGAAACTGTCATTAATGAATTCGTGACCTTTTGTTTTGACTTATGTAATGCCCTATTTACTGGCATACAAAAAAAAAAATGTCCTCCCTGTTTGAGGCTTGTGGGAAAGTTTCTGTTGAGCGGGTAGAAAATGAAAGTAAAGTCATACCACAGCAAGAGAAAAGGAGGAAAAACATCCAGCAGGGACATCCAGAAGTGCGGGGGACGACGGTGATTTCATTTGTTTCAACATGGATGGTGAGTTGAGATATCACTGCAGTGGTGGAGAAAGCATCTTCAGATTAGTGTGTGTAGTAAAAGTTGCAACATTACACTGTAAGAGTCTTGTGTTGAAAATGTTACGTAGGATAGGATGAAAACATACTGTTACTTGAGTCACAATATCTGTCAGACACATGTGGTGGAGTAAGAAATGCAATACTATACTCTAATATTTAGTACTAATAGTGATCTTAAGTTCATGTATCTCAAATTTGTGCTCAGTACAGTACTTGAGTAAATGGCCTTTGACATTCCAGCACTGCATCAGTGTCAACACTGGGCAACATCCTGGACTTGATTCTTTAAAACATACTTTAAAAGAAAGAAATGGAAACTTCAGTTCAAAACAAAGCTCTCTGGCTGACTTATCCGTAGAATACATGACCTGACCTGACACAATGTTTTAATTATCAGGAGATACATGGGCCAGGCTCACAGTGTTGTGAACACTGAGATGAGCCCTTAACTTTTCCTCTGGGGCCATCATCAGGCCAGAAATATGATCTGTTCAATACTTCGGTTTATGAAAAAGAATACTTGCAAAACAAATGTTATTCCCATCAGCCTCAGCTGTTCTATGGAAGATTTAAAATGTCTCAGTAAAAACCAATCACACAACAACTGAGGCAAAAAACACATTGTTATGTATTTGTGTGTTTGTGTAACAACATAAAGCAAAAATAATTGTCCTTGTATGTACATATATGTATATGTATTTCATGTAATTATAACGCAGTAAATGCATACATGACGAAAGAAAGAAATATAACCAAATATATTGCATTTAACTTTTTAATTTAGGCATTTTAAATCCTCCTTAGTGCACTTTGTGATAGTGCTAATTAGAAAGATTTAGCATGCAAACTACAGTGACAATGATAAACATTACAGCTGCTGAACATCAGCATGTTAGCATAGTCACTGGTAACATGTTAGCATGCTGACAGTAGTTTTTTTTATCACTTTCTGAGTTTACAAACAATTGATCAATTAAATGAGAGAAGTTGCAACCCTATAAAACAACATGGCAGGTTAACAGAAGTAATAGTGAAATGTATTTGACTTATTCAGAGTCATTGTTCTCTTCTAGCGCTGACTCCATGGAGGATTGTAATACTGGGGAAAACTGGAGCTGGGAAGAGCAGCCTGGCTAACACCCTATTGGGGGCAGATGTGTTCAACATAAGCCATTCTTCCATCACCGACACGAGTCGTTCTCGTGCCGAAACCAAATCTGTCAACGGGAGAAGCATCAAATTGATCGACACTCGCAGTTTTTTTGACACAAGTGGGTCTGAGGCAATGCTCAAGGCTGAGATAGTGAGTTGCATCACCGAGTGCGCTCCTGGGCCTCACGCCTTTCTCATTGTGCTTAAAGTGGAGAAATTCACACAGCAAGAGAAGGACGTCATTGATAAAATATGCCAAGATTTCTCTGAGGAAGCTCTCAAATACACCACAGTCGTCTTCACTCATGGTGACGAGCTCTCGGAAGGAACGACAATCGAGGAGTTTGTGAGTGAGAATAGAGATCTGAGTGCTCTGGTGAAGAAGTGCGGAGGCCGCTGCCACGTGTTCGATACTAAATACTGGAAGAACAGCGGAGAGGACGACTACAGAAGTAACCAGTTGCAGGTGGCAAAGCTGCTCGACACACTGGGCGAGATGATCGAGGCAAACCACGGAAGCTGCTACACCAATGAGATGCTACGAGCAGTGAAACAAGAAATAAAGAGAGAGGAAGAGCTCATCAGGCAGTCATCAGGGAATATGTCACAGGAAGTGATGAGCAACAAAGCTAAAGATACTGTTTTTAACAGGTTACTGATCAGAGTTGCAAGTACTGCAACAGGTGCGTTGTTGGGAGCTTTGCTTGGTGTGGGAAAGATGGTCGCAGCAATTGTTTGCCAGGATGTTCCAGATGCAACATCCCTACTATCAAAAGTAAAAGAAGTGGCTGCAACGGCTGCTTTAAGTGGGGTAGTAACGGGCGTTGAGATAGGATACGATGCAGCGGAAGGAGCAGTAAGTCCAGGGGAAGCCATAAATAAGACACTGAAGGGTCTGTGGAAGTAATCTGGGGTTGGTGCAGATAAAAACAACACATAGAGCACTGACAATAGGAGGTTGATGTTTGTTATATAAAACACATAAAGCATGTTAATTCCAACTACAGGGACAGTGAGCTAATTGTTTTATGAATGGTTGAGACATTCAATGATTAGCTGGAAACAGTTGGAATCAGTGTGATTAGTGTTCAGGTTAAATAATGAGTATACATTTGAGAAAATATTGATGACCACATCTTATTAAGTTTGGAAGAATTGGAAGACAATCATTGTGAATTTGGGTATTGTTAGACTGCCATAGGACCACTTTTTTGAAAGATCATCTTATCTCATTATCTGTTTATTATTTTTTTTGAATTTCCATGACTTTGAGAGGCTGGATTACTCTTTATTTAGGCGTTTTTGCATTTTGTTTTAAGTGATTCAACAAGTAAACGGACGCATGTTAATACTTTTTTTTCAGTCTCTGTTTTGTTGTGCTGGCTATAATCAATAATACATAATTCCTTATGTTAATCAACATTAATTCTATCTGGGAAAGAGGAAGGACATTTATTTTGACACTGTGATGATTTAAGTATCTTTGAAAGGTTTTGACTCGTTATTTTACACTTTCCATGACTTTGGATGCTGAAAGATGCTTTTCTGTTTTTTCATTAATGTTCATTTTGTTATTAAAGGTATTGCTTGTTACAAGTTATATAACGATTAAACAGCTGTGTGCTTTTAAGTGTTTTCCAGTCTGTATTTTTTGTGCTACAATACATTGATGCATCTTAAAACATGTGCAGCTATCACTCTCCATCACCCACAACCTTCTATCCAAAACCCAGACTGAGCTCCAATCAGAATTTCAAAGATCACAAGAAAAGACAGCAGCTGAAGTTACTGAAGGCGAGCAGAATGTCTAACTACATTATCTTTTTATTAGTTTTATCATTCACAAACTCTAAATACTAAAGAGATGTCTAACCAATTTGCCAACGTAAAATGCTGTGATTAACAAATGATCATTGGAACATGGTCACATGCGGTGGAGAGAGAGAGAGAGAGAGAGAGAGAGAGAGAGAGAGAGAGAGAGAGAGAGA